CCACTGGTGGATTAATATCTCGATTTCTCTCAGTAGTCTGGTGAGTTTTCATCAGATCAGCTGGCACAATGTTTTGAAAGTTTTTGGACTGAAGCTTGATTTTCCCAGTGCTACAATCCAAAATTCGTTGTCGGACCTTTAACATATTTGTTGGATGAGTGTCAATATAGAAGGACAAATAATATAGTCTCAAAGTCCGAAACAAGAGTACAATGGTAGCAATGGAAAGTCGCCATCAGTAATAGGACATATGCAGTATGCATTTAGCCTGAAAATTCAAGAAAACCCATTGTAGCAGGGATTTTGTTAAAATACATGCATCATTATCATACCAACTCCCCATACAGTGCCACATTTATTTCCTGCAATTCCCCGTACAACCATCAGAACGTACAGTCTATATTTTGCCATGTTTGTCGCTAAGTGTAAAGAAATAAGCATTACAACTTCACACAGAACTTTAAATAAGACCTATTTTCTTATAAAAGTGAACACAAGCACCATGTGGTCATCACTTGTGTAATATCAGGAGTAAAACAAGCTTTTTCGCGATCGCTACGTTAGCTTCGGTATGGATGCTTGAAATAGACATTTATGGCAAGAATAGAAACATTATCATTATTATCTGATTCCCAGTATGTGGAGAAAGATGTTATATTCTCACATTTAAAATGTTTCATTTGTTAAAGGTGGGGAATACCTTAAACTAACCGTGAACGTGAAGCCTGGGTTGTCCCGTCAAAACTGTACAGTGGAAAATGGGTTGTTGCAAAGGTGCAACATCCGGTTTTCATGTACAGTCGAATACCCACCCCCTGTGTATACTGAGTCTGACAAAACCCAGTAGAAGGTCGCGTCAGCTAACCTTTGAGCGACCTATGACCGTCCAATCAAACGCGAGACGGCCGAACGGATTTAAACAACCAGACAACGACTACTTGTTAGGGTTCGGCGGGACTTACAAAACGGGTTTTGAATTTTCTCTTCGCTGACATTGATTTATCAACAAACGAAAATCCGCATAAACACAGATATTTGACCTGCAGTATATAGAGAATACTACACGAGGTCTCATTACATACGAATTATACGAAACGAGTGTCCTTCCTATGGTAGATAACATAGGAAGGTCACGAGTTTTCGTATAATTCGAATGTAATGAGACCGAGTGTGGTATTTTATTTATTACCCACGTCTTACATGCATTAAATTGACAAAATAGCGTATTTTTGTTATGTTTTTGGTTTCAAACCGAAACCGGTTTCATAAAGAGGTTGCGGAAGAGTTTTGTACTGTAGTACATTATTTGCATGACGTCACACTGTAATGACGTCACTGCCCTGGTAACCGACGTCACGATGCATGTCAGTTGTCATCGCCTCGTACAGCCTCCTACACTAAACTTCTCCGTAGCACCTCGTTTCTTGGTTTCCAGCTGCTTCATTCGGCTAACATCACTGGTGGAAACATTGCGTGTATATTTTTCGACGGATATAATGTCTCAGTTCGACTCACAATTAAACAGCGACACGGCAAAGTTCGCAATGTTTACATTCCCACAATGCATTTAATTTGTAGAATGAATGAATTGACGTGTTTGTTATGAATGAAAAAATAGTTACGTCAGAATGTGAACTAATTGAGAGGTCATCGGTTATCCAATCAAATCGTTAGAATCTCAGGTCAAGTCGTTACGACACAGGTCAAGGCGATACGACACTCGTGTGACGTACGAGATTAGTATGCAACTACCAATACGTTGACCTCGTGGGTAATATGTACGCTTATGGGTTTCTAATGACATGGTTACTATTTGCTTATATTTTCGCAAGATGACATCCTTGAATATTGACAAAAACGCTATTTTCGGCGACTGTTTGCTCACTGCGTGTATCACTCGGAAGCGATCGTGCGGAAAACAGCATTCGGAATCGTTCGAGGTTCAAACGGTATGTGCGAATGTTAACTTTCGCGATTTGGTAAGCTGTGTTCTGATTGGTCAGTCCAAAAGGTTAGCTGACGCGACCTTCTACAAGGTTTTGTTAGACTCAGTATAGCAGTGTAACGAATAATACTGAGTTTACTTAGACTGGACAATATCGTCATTGCCAGAACCTTCGGCTGCGCCCGAGCAACTGTCATCAGGCTGATGCAAAAAATATCCCCGTTCACATGCACCTGTTTGCACACTTATGTATAAATACACACATGAGCAAACTTTACATACGTGTGTACATATGTCATGTGAACGCATTTACTCACGTATGTAAATATACACAAGGAGCAAATTTAACATGAGGTCAGGACCAGGTGCAAACGTGCATTTACACATGTGCAAATTTGCACTGTCAGTAAATTGTGTCATATCATCTTCATTAAGGGGAAAAGTTACATATTCGGGAAGCGAAACATCACATATGGTCTGACAAACTTCATGAATGCATTTACAAATGGTGGACTTTCCAACACCAAACAAATTTCCCACAGTTCTATATTCTGAAGTTGAAGGCCTCCAGTATATTGCGATTGCAACTTTCATTCGTACATCCAAAGGTTGGCGAACAGCTTGGTCACTAGCTTTTAAGTAATCCTGTAATTGTGTGCAGATAAGATCGAAAACCTCTTTGTTCCTTCAAAAAGGATCGTACCAATCTTTATCGTCATTAGTTTTATTCATGTCGTTCCACCAAACAGACTTTCTTTCTTTCTTCCAGAGAGGTCTATCTTGTGACAGACCTATTGCAAGAGCAGTACATATATGATACTGCGTGTGTCTTCTTAAGCGCCAGTGATATATGAGAACATGTTTCTCTGTTGAAGTTCAGAAAAAAATGAGACAATCTAATACATCATTATTTACACTTTCAATTTACTCACTCTACATACATGTAAATTCAGTGTGAACGCAAAGTAAATTTACTATTACACACGTATGTATATTTACACATGTGCAAATTTACTTATATGAGTAAATTGTGTGCATGTGAACGGGACTGGGACAAACGAGTATACGAGAAATACGAGTCTAACGTACAGTCAGTATGCAAGTATACTGTACTGTACGCCTCACCAAACTGTCATTGCTTGAATCCCTTAATACATAAGCCAGGCTAGGTAACAACAAATACTATCTTTTAATATCCTGTAGTATGAACGGTAAGGGGACCAAACCACCGCCCCTCCGCACTCCCAACTGACGCTGTATCTACTTGACCACTTAGATCAGAACTGTATTCCACAAACATATCCTTGGAAGATATTGACACATTTTGTACTATTATATCTCCGTGCCGTGAAGGAGATATCAGAAAGGTTTGAGCGTGACATATCAGGGCTGCTGTTGACCCGCATTGGCTGAGTCATCTGTCAAACCGTGTGCTACAGTCCAGTCAGTGCTGATAACTAACTTTGACACTGACGTACAGACGAAAGTACACACCTGATTTATTTCCCCTTAAACGACATAAATTAATTTAAAAGAGTTTTCATTTTGTTTTATAAGTCGTATCCCAATTGCGTAGATCGATGAACATGCTGTTGATGACTGGATTTTCTGGTCCGGAATCGATTATTTACAGACCGCCGCCATATGGCTGGAATATTGCTGAGTGCGGCGTAAAACTAAACTCATTCTTTCGAGATCGTATCCTGACAGATCAAGATTTTACCTTGTACAAATCAGGAACAGTTTACAAGGAAAATAAAAGGAACATTATAGTTTGGCATGAAATGCTTGTGGACCCGTTTTTTTGTAAATATCTCTTCATCCAATGACCCAATCGATCACAAACTGTGCAAGTGGATGCTTTTTAGACAACCTAATCACATTGTAAATCACCGATGTTATGCATTTGTATTAAAGAATCTGCCTATGTAACTGTCAACAAAATAAACAGCAGAACGCAGACTGCTTGCAGAGGGAGGGAGCCAATGACCTGTAACAGCGGCAGTGTTTGGTCATAAAGGTCAACGTTCGTCAATGTAGGTCAGCTATGCTGATGACCCTGATGTCAAAAGAATCTAACTTTGGATGCCTACCTTTTTGTACAAGGTTTTGTTTATTGGTTGTTGGTTTATTTTTCACAATTTTTAGCACGATGTTCTTTTTCATGCCAAGAGCAAAAGTTGTACGTTTCATGTAATCCGACACCTTATAAATCGGTTTGCTACGTTTGCTCTCAACACATTTCTAATTACACGTTTAGCATCATCTGAATAACCTTTCATGATGACAGCTAGAAGTAGTTAATGTGAATGATCCAAACAGTCTATCACTGTGCAGTGCACAGGTAACTATCATGAACTGCACGTGCATTTACCTTTATGACCCAACACTGCCGCTGTTACAGGTCATTGGCTCCTTCCCTCTGCAAGCAGTCTGCGTTCTGCTGTTTATTTTGTTGACAGTTACATAGGCAGATTCTTTAATACAAATGCATAACATCGGTGATTTACAATGTGATTAGGTTGTCTGACAAAACATCCACTTGCACAGTTTGAGATCGATTGGGTCATTGGATGAAGAGATATTTACAAAAAAACCGGGTCCACAAGCATTTCAAGCCAAACTATTTTTTTTTATAGGGTGTCAAACTTAAATGGAACAATTTTCATAAATATCCCGGATCTATTCGAAAATGCAGGAAGTTCGGAAGTGGCTTGTCACCACTCTCATCCCTCCTATAGCTAACAAAGCACAGAATGTCTCTCGCTCACTAAAGCTTTTTGATTGGGTAGCTATTTTCATCATTGTGCTGTCCGCCTGTCCGTCTGGTATTTCAGCGTATTTATCAAAACACACTGGAAACATAATGTAGTGAATAGTCGAGGATAGTAATCAATATGGACATTAATTAAATCTTTAGCCAAAACGACCAGACTAGAGATCACGTGACACTTGCCTGAGTCACCTGACCAATGTTGTGCAACGTGCAATGCGTTATCTGTGTGATACAATGCATCGTGTCGATAAACCGATAAACAGTCTTTGCTCTCGATAGCAAACATGAAGTCAACCGCTCTGATCCTCGTGTGCGTCACCATCGCTACAGGTGAGATATTCAAAATGTGCTATTAATCCGATTACTCAGTAAGGTCAGTGGTCGAAGTAAAATTATAATGTTTGATTTAAGAACATTTACGAAGCATTGGATTGGGTGAAATTAATAAACTAGGAGATGAAAACGTCAAAGACGCTTTTCTTTCGAAATTGACCAGATACTTTTTACATTTTTCACATTTAAAAAATGAAGTTAATTAACATTGTCTTAAGATTTTGAATGTAAGTAACTTTTTGGTTGACGGATTCCTTCGTTTCATTGTGTAGTGATACGTGTAGTTTTTACGGAATATTTAACACACCTGAACGTGACATTCTTTATTAATTTATATTAGTCAACATGCGAACTCGATGACATGAGTGAGTGAGTTTTGTTTAACGCCGCTTTTAGCAATATTCCAGCAATATCATGGCGGGGGACACCAGAAATGGGCTTCACACATTGTACCCATGTGTGAAATCGAACCCGAGCCTTCGGCGTGACGAGCGAACGCTTTAACCACTAGGCTACCCCACTGCCGCTAATGATATGAAACGGGTTGCCCAGTTGGAGTTATGTGCCGTATGTGGGCCAGGATCTTGTTATCTTGTGTTTCGAATCCAGTTTTCGCCAGATTATGAACCAAACTGTTAACCTGTTTTTTTACTAAAATCATCAGCAGTTTCATTTCACACTGAACTAAATCTTCATAATATGGCTGAAATACGGCGTAAAGCACAATTCACTCATCAACAAACGACCATTATTAAGTCTGGTCACGAGTATATTACTGAATGCACTGCAGGCCTGTATGTCGACCACGGTGATCCATACAAATCCGGCACGTTGACAACGGGGAAAGTCGTCGTCACCGTCCTCGAAGACAAGAGCCCCCTGCATGCCGTCGCCTACTACCCTAACGTCACCGGGGACTACGGCGTTGTCTTCTTTATCCCGGGACTGGACGGTGTCATTCTCAGCGCGTTCTACTCCGAGTATCTCACTGCAATAGCTCAGCATGGGTAGGTCAAGTCCTATATTGAAGCTCTGTGTTAAACTCAGCATGGGCAGGTAATACCACATACGCCAAAACCATAGCTCAGCATGGGTAGGTCAAGTCCAACTCGAAACTCTGTAGCTCAGCATGGGTAGGTGATACCACGTACGTTAACACCATAGCTCAGCATGGGTAGGTCAAGTCCACCTCGAAACTCTGTAGCTCAGCATGGGTAGGTCAAGTCCAACTCGAAACTCTGTAGCTCAGCAAGGCTAGGTGATACCACGTACGTGTACACCATTGTTCAGCATGGGTAGGTCAAGTCCACCTCGAAACTCTGTAGCTCAGCAAGGGTTGGTGATACCTGGTACGTGAACACCATTGTTCAGCATGGGTAGGTCAAGTCCACCTCGAAGCTCTGTAGCTCAGCATGGGTTGGTGATACCACGTACGTGAACACCATTGTTCAGCATGGGTAGGTCAAGTCCACCTCGAAACTCTGTAGCTCAACAAGGGTTGGTGATACCACGTACGTCAACACCATTTTTCAGCATGGGTAGGTCAAGTCCACCTCGAAACTCTGTAGCTCAGCAAGGGTAGGTGATACCACGTACGTGAACACCATTGTTCAGCATGGGTAGGTCAAGTCCACCCCGAAACTCTGTAGCTCAACAAGGGTTGGTGATACCACGTACATGAACACCATTGTTCAGCATGGGTTGGTGAAGTCCAACGCCTAAACTCTCTAACTGAGCATTGGTAGGTGATATGAAGTATCTCAAAACTGCATATCAAAGTGGATAGGTGCTGTCAGGTATCTGAACACTGTACCTCAGCATGGGCAGGTGATATCACGTCAAAACCATAGTTCAGCATGGGTAGGTCAAGTCCAACTCGAAACTCTGTAGCTCAGCATGGGTTGGTGATACCACACACGTCAACACCATAGCTCAGCATGGGTAGGTCAAGTACACCTCGAAACTCTGTAGCTCAGCATGGGTTGGTGATACCACGTAAGTCAACACTATAGCTCAGCTTGGGTAGGTCAAGTCCACCTCGAAACTCTGTAGCTCAGCATGGGTAGGTGATATGAAGTATCTCAAAACTGCATATCAAAGGGGACAGGTGCTGTCAGGTATCTGAACGCTGTACCTCAACATGGGTAGGTGATATCAAATGTCTCAACTAGGGCTGTTAGGGGATATCAATTATCTCAACTCTTAAGCTCAACATAGGAGAACTCTACTATCGTAACACTGTACCTTAACTTAGGCTGTGATATCCAGTACCTTAGTTATGTTGTTCAATATGGGTCAAGACGTGATAAGGTAATTCTACGACGATGTTGTATTGGCTATAGTCAGTTTACTCATGACTATTGATGGAGATGGACCTCCTATGTGTGTCACTTGCGATGAAGCGTTCACCATCAAGCATATACTGCTTGACTGTGTGGACGTTTCAAATGCAAGGGATTCACATTACCAAGCGATAAATCTGAAAGATTTGTTTCCCGCTTGAGCGGGCATCTCATTGTGAACTACCTAAGGGAAGTTGACCTGTATCATAAATTGTAACTATGTAATGTGAATGACGGATTGCACGTTTTTAATTTTTTTTTGAGCTATGACGTTGTCTGTTTGTCACGAATAAATATGTTATTTTTAACACTTAAAAACGACGTAACACTTAACTCAACTCAGTATGGGTAGGTGTTGTTGAGTATCAACTTGAGTAGGTAATATTCAATATGTCAACTACGACATCCCTGAGTTATCCTCAGAACGTGGTAATTTTGGAATTGTTTCAATATTCTATTCCCCAATGTTTGTAGATTCGTCGTGGTCGCTAGTGACTACATTTTTCCTGCGCTTGATAACCCGTCCGGTTACCACATGAACAAAGAGAAACTTGCCTCCATCGCTGACAAGTACATGGAGCAGTTTTACTGGGTAAGTATCAGTCTGGTCGTCGTTTGCTCGTGCCATTTCTGCCAGGGGAGCAGTGGCTCCATATTGTATCCATTGCAACAAGGATTGGTTTCACAGATTGAATCGAACCCATGTCTTCGGCGAACCCACTGTCCGCTAGACATGGCATTCTAGCGGAAACATCACAGTTAACAAATGGGGCGGTGGGGTAGTTCAGTGGTTGAAGGGTTCGCTCCTCACTCCGACAACCAAGTTCGATTCCCCACATGGGTACATTGTGTAAAGCCCATTCCTGATGTCCCCCGCCGTGATATTGCTAAAAGCGGCATAAAACCCAACTCATTCACTCACTCAGTGAACAAATCAACACAGCCTATAGGGGCATCCTTCATGCTGTCAGGTTACATTGGGATCGGGTAGTCAGACTCGCTGACTTGGTTGATGCAGGTTATTATATTCCAGTTACGTAGATCGATGATCATTATATCAATCACTACATTGCCTATTCCAGACTCGACAAATTAAAACAGCATGGTAAAAATTCTATCCGGGTTAGAATTGGGGGCCGTTGTACAAAGCAACCTTAACGCTTCGCCATTCGTAAGTCAATGTTAAGGTATGGGAGTTACGATCACCTTAGCGCAAAGATCGCTTTTTACAACGGCACCCTGATCTTAAGCAACCCATGTTTGTCGTTAATGATATCAATCACTGGATTATCCGGTCCAGATTCATTCACTTAAGGACGCTGTAATGCGCAAGGTTAACACGTCTCTCAACTTCAATTAGAAAGCGCGGCAGGGCTGCATCAACATTAGATTATCGTAAAAAGCGGTGGGGTAGCCTAGTGGTTAAATCATTCGCTCGTCACGCCGAAGGCCCGGGTTCGAATACTCCCATGGGTATAATGTGTGAAGCTCATTTCTGGTGTCCCTAGCCGTGATATTGCTGAAATATTGTTAAAAGCGGCATAAAACCATACTCACCCACTCTTATTGTAAGTCGTTCGATTGATTACAGGGCACGGTGAGAGTGTGAACGATGCAATGATGCTAAATGAAACGCCCGTCAGCAATACTGCGCATATACTTTCAGCTGAAGTCCAACCTGCAGAGGTTAATCCAAGCCGTAACACCGGGCGTGAATAGCAGTTGGGACCACGTAGCGCTTCTCAGTCACTCTGCCGGGGCCGACGCTATGTTGAAGATGACGGAGAGAAACCATACCTTGTTCCAGGTACGGCATTTATGTCTAAACTATGGTATCCTAGAAGGGCCATTGTCGTACTTTGCTTAGTTTTGACACTGCTTGTTTTTGCGACTAGGCGACAGCGCGATAATGTCCCTTTTAGAACTTCATGTACCAAACGGCTGTTGGCGTTTGTGGCTGAGTTTCTTCCCTTCGTGGAACAACGACATCAGGTTACATCGGGATCGGGTGGTCAGGCTCGCTGATTTGGTTGATGCATGTTATTGTATTCCAGTTGCGTATAGATCGATGTGCATGATGTCAATTACTAGATTGCCTGTTCCAGACTCGAAAAATTAAAACACCAAGGTAAAAGCCCTAACGGACCCGTGAAGATCTTGCGAAACTGAACTGACAAAACCTAGTTTTGACACGTTTTGCTAGTTTTTGTGAGGACGACGGTATGGCAACGCATCAATGCCCCTTTTAGGATTCCAATACAAAGTCGGACTACATATAAAACACCATGACTGATTTAACTAATGCATATCCTCGTATTTCAATTTGGTACATAGATGCTAGTGATATCAATCACGGGATTGTCTGGTCCAAACTCGATTATTAACAAACCGACCTCATATAGATAAAATACTGCAGGGTGCAGCGTGAAACAACAAATATCACTGAAATATGTTCTAGTGTTGCTTGTTTGGTTGTATTTGTTCGGTGTGAACCATTGTTTCAGGCTGTCGTGTTTTGGGAACCCTTCAGTTATCAGTTCACGACAAAGACCAACTACTCCCTCCCAGCTCTCATCACGGGGACGCAGCTGTCCACGAAGAGGTCGATCATCGTCCCATGCATCATCGCTGGTTTCGGCTACAACCACTTCTACGACATGTGGGGGGAACCTCCTAAAGTGCTCGTGGACGCCAAGGTGAATAAGCTCAACTTACCTTCACTTTAATAGATGCTGCCACTAACGCCACATCTCTATCTACTGCTGCTCCTACTACCGTACCTCCTAATGCTGCTACTACCACAGCCCCTACTACTACACGGGTGACCCATGAAGATACGAGTTAAAAGTGGTCTCCAGTAACCCATGCTTGTCATAAGAGGCGACTAACGGGATCGAGTGGTCAGACTCGCTGACTTGGTTGACACATTTCATCGTATCCCAAATTGCGTAGTATAACGATGCTCATGATGTTGATGACTGGATTGTCGTGTCCAGACTCGATTATTTACAGACCACCGCCATATAGCTGGGATTTTGCTGAGTGCGGTGTAAAACTAAACTCACTCACCACTACCACACACCCTAGTACTACACAGGTATATGTTCTACAAAGCGGTCCAAGCCCTACGACCTTGTAAGTGTATGCTAAAGTATGGGAATGAGATCACCTTCGCATAGACCAACATCTAGTCACTGAAATGAACATATGCTCTCCCAACACTATTTATGGGAATGCAGATTTATCCGTCTTTGGCACCAACTCGAGGAAAGTCAGTTTGAGTGTCACATGGAGACTTGTGGTGGCGCTGAAGTCAATACCTCGTGTGACCACCGTGGGCATCCAGAACTGCACGGCATCGCCTCGGCATCGAACGAATAAGTCTCAGAATCTCGTGTTGCCCAATCGCAGCCCACTCTGCCTGTAGTGCCTGTGCGAGTTGCTGAAGTGTCTGGGGCTGAGGGTTACGGCGTCGCACCGTCTGTCCAGGGCATCCCACACATGTTCGATCGGGTTTAAGTCCGGTGATCTTGAGGGCCAGGGGAGCACATTGATGTTGTGGGTCTGGAGGAAGTCTCTAGTGTGACGTGCTGTGTGGGGTCTGGCATTGTCCTGTTGAAACAACTCCCTCTGGCGATCAATGATTGGAAGGAGGTGTGGGCGTAGGATTTCGTCACAGTACCGTTGAGCTGTCAGGTTGCCCTGGATCATCACCAAATCACTTCTCCTACGGCAGGTGATCGCTCCCCACATCATAACACTTCCCCGGCCGGATCTCTCCACTGGGGAACGCAAGCGTTGGCGAAACGTTCACGTCGATGTCTGTACACCCGCATTCTTCCATCGCGTCGTTCCAATAGAAATCGTGATTCATCACTGAACCAGATTCTACGCCAATTCGGTAGGTTCCAGGCCTGAACGTTGGTGCACCATTGAACTCGATGTCGACGATGTTGTTGTCGAAGCACAGGGCCAAAATAAGGTCTTCTGGCACGTAAACCAGCCTCTCTCAACCTGTTCCTGACGGTCTGTGCAGAAAGCCTCCTCAATCCGGGTATTTGTCGAGCGGTACTGGTCGCCGTAGCTGTTCGATGATGCAGGTAAAGTACCCGGATGTAGCGATCCTTTGCCGCAGTGGTCGCTCGAGGTCGCCCACTACGAGGGGCATCTGCTACCGCATTCTGCCGGCGATATCTCTATCAGAGCCGAGAAATGGTGCTTTGGTGAACATTGATGCGTCGGGCAACTGCACGTTGAGACTGGCCAGCTTCAAGCAAACCAATGGCGATATGACGGTTGGCTTCACTTAGACGTGGCATTTTGCGTTCGTCAACAATATTCCAAATACAGTGAATAATCGACAGACAGCGATCAACCTTTTATACCCATCTTGAGACTATCTGATCCCCAACTTTCACGTGCATTGCATGTGAATTGTGTATTCTGTGGCGCTACACGCCGAAATTGACAATCATGCTGTTAAAGACGGGTATTTTACGGATGGTGCGTTTTGTTGTGATGTTTCAAAACATAAACACCATAGGACTCATAAACAGAGCAAAACCTTTTATAAAATGAATCACGTTTAAATTCATTGCTACATGAAATTGCTATTTTCATGAGGCGTTTCTTTTTTGGGAGAGTATATTTTACAGAAGAAAATGTTTTTCTATATTATGCTAATAGAATATAATAAAAAGGGGGCCTATGGCTGATTTTCAGAAACTGAATCTGTAGTAATCCAGACTTGTCACATATTCCAGACCTTTGCTTTCCGATCGTTTTGTGGGACAGGACCCCAATAATAAAAGACAGGCAAACTTAGATTGTTTGTTCTATATTATATAATTTCTTCTTTTCCAGAACTTTGGTCACTGCGACCTCATGGATTATGCCTTTCGTGATTGTAAGTGTGTTAACGCGACCTAAACATATAGATAGTGTATAAACTGACATATACAACATACGGTTGCTATCGACAGTGAGATAGTAACATCATACGGTGAAACAGGAGATTACCGTAGTTGCCCACCAGTACAGACTTACATTGGTTTAGCCCACCGAGATATAATGCCGCAGTTTAACATGAACCCCATCAATGTAAACTGTTTCGTTTGGAACAACGTCTGGATTAACCAGGTTTCGTTGTTTATGACTTTGGGTGCCTCCTCTGGAACAGTGTGATGAGAATTCTGTGTTAGACCAATCTCCCAAAACCTGTACTGGTCCACCAAAACATGCCACCTGATATACAGGGGTAACTTGGTTTATTGAATAGCATGGCAACCTGACCACGCTGAAAGCTGTTCATAATATCAACCACCAGGTCCAATCAATGTCAATCATCACGGTCATATAATTTGAATAAACCCATGAAGAATTGGTCTTCTGTAACCCATGCTTGTCGTAAGAGGCGACTAACAGGATGGGGTGGTCGGGCTCACAGACGTGGTTGACATATATCATCATATCCCAATTTTGTATATTGATGCTCATGCTGTTGATCACTGGATTGTCCAGCGCGGACTCGATTATTTACAGACAGCCGCCATATAGCTGGAATATTGCTGAGTGCGTGTAAAACTAAACTCATTCATTCACTATAATTTGAGTATAACTGAAGGAAGTGTTAAACAGCAAAGACAAACAACCTATCCTATAATGTTGGTATTTCTCCACAGTCTGTATCGATACCAAGACATGTCTGGGAGGTAACGCCTCCATGATCCCAGCTTACCACCAGTACACCCAGGGAATAACATCTGCCTTCCTCATCGCTTATCTCCAGGGCTTCTCCCAAACCATCAACTACGTCATCGACCAGACAAAGATACCACTACCTCTTGATGAGTTTAAATATAACATGTCAGTGCCATCCTATCAACACTGGCATCTACCATAGGACAGACTGCTTTTTATCCCCTTTGTCTTTCCATAACATGCATTTTAAGTGAAAAAACATGACAAGATAACAAAATAAGACATTGTCTATTGATGTATATATGAATGTGTATACTGTGTTCATAAAGAAAGTTTTTTGTAAATATATACATACACTATTGATCTGCATAAGTGTTTTAGCGTATATTTTCCACTTGGGGTCAATTATTGTATCCTGCCAGAGGGTAACATTTATTAAAAATGGTTCATGAATATGTTACTGATACAGTTGGAATAATTGTGAAAGCACTCAAACACCTACTGCTATTGTATATGGCAAGTGTGGAAGATATCCTCTCTTTATAAACGCATTGTGTAAAACTTTAAAATGTAGGCTAAAGGTTATTCATATGCATCAAAATAGAACTCCTTTGAAAGTGTATAAAATGCAAATGTATTACGATAACTGTGGATATAAGACATATGCGAGAAATAAACTCATGTCCAAAAGAAACGATAACAAATATTTTTTTCATTATTTTTAAATTAATGATACTTTTTGGAGAAAAAACATATTTCTGTGTATCCCACGTTCCTAACCAAACGTATTCGATCGAAAAAACCGGTAACATTTATTCACTTAAGAATCAATCGCACGAATACTCAAAATGACGTTAAGTCGTGTAGCACACGAAATGCACGTGCAGATGAACTGTATAAAACCGCTGGTCCGACACGTTGTGCCCACAGCAGTAAAAGCACACAAAAGAAATTGCACGTTTGACAGCGATCGAGAGAGAAAGAGCCGTTGGAATGGTCCGACAGGGAGCATCACACGCCGCTGTAGCAAGAACGTTTGGATGCGCGCGCATAACCGTTACCAGGTTAATGCGACGGTTGCGTCAAACAGGCCGAACAACAGACAGGCCGAGAAGCGGGAGACCCCGGGTGACCACGCCTATTCAAGACAACCACATCCGGTTACTTCACCTACGTAACCGCTTCGTTCCTGCGACGTTAACGGCGGCGAGGGGATTGGGACACCGGATCAGTCGACAAACCGTCTACAGGAGACTGCAGGCACATGGTATCCGTGCACGTCGCCCCTACCGCGGAGTCTACCTGACACGTCAAAACAGAGTCAACCGATTGATATGGGCCAGGCGTGTTCGGCGGTGGCAACGTCGAAACTGGGCACGTGTCTTGTTTTAGGACGAAAGCCGGTTTTGCCTTTACAAGAACGAAGGTCGGCAGCGAGTATACCGAAGAGTTCCTGAACGTTTGGCCCCGAACTGCATCCAGCAAGTCCATGCATTTGGAGGCGGAGGTGTAATGGTGTGGGGAAGTATCTGCGGTGATGTGAAAACGAGGCTCGTCATTATTCGGGGGAACCTGAATGTACAGCGTTACCAGGATGAGGTTTTACGACCAGTCGTGCAGCCATTCGCCCAACAGCATCCAGGAGGAATCGTGTTCCAGCACGATAACGCTAGGCCTCATACGGCAAGATTGACCCAGAACTTCCTTGCCAACGCCAACATACAGGTTTTGCCATGGCCAGCGTGTTCACCGGATTTGAATCCCACTGAGCACATATGGGATCACCTCAATCGGAAAATCAGAAAACGCCCTGCGCCCCCAGCCAACCTCCAACAATTGGAACATTGTCTCCAGGATGAGTGGCAGCGAATCACCCTAACGTCATCCGACGTTTGACGTCATCAGCTCGGAGGCGTGTCATGGCATGTATCGCAGCTGCTGGAGGACATACCCGGTACTAAAGTGGCGTTAAGACTGTTTTCAGAGACTACCCTCACTAGCCTCCTCCACTGTGCTAAAATGAATTTTCAATTTTGGGCACCACACTTCGTTTAAAGCCCTGTGTTAATGATTGTAAGTCTTTGATTGCCATGACTTTTTGTACACATGCCGTAAAAACATTTATCTAATGAAAGATATCAATTTAAAATGTCTATGTTGTTTTGTTTTAATTCAGTGATCTTTGAAACACGTGGTATCGTTTCTTTTGGACACTAGTTTACTTTTCTCACATGGATTTGGTTACGTCTGGATGTCTCATACAGTTGGTGATGCAGCTTCATTCAAGACTGTAGCAATCAATATGTTTTTTCAATCATGGAATTGTACATTGAATAAAAGTTCAAGATACCGTATTTACCGAGAGTTTAAATAATGTTGAGTTTGCAACTCGTAATTGTCCATTGTGTAAGCTGGGTGTAGAAGATGAGTATCATTTTATTTTTATATGTACTGAATATAACTCCCTTAGATTGAAATACTTGCCATATGTATATCAGAAACAAACAAACTACTATAAATTTTAGTCTCTGTTATCAGCAAATAATGAAACACTTTTAAGAAATTTATGTAACTATATCTTTCATGCTTATAAAATCAGAGCAATCAAACTCCAATAAATGTTCTTTAAACCACAGATTTGTCCATTTTAAATGTTTATAAAGCTGTGTATATATGTTTATATTAAATATTATATTTATACTGACAAGAAATCTATTTGAACAAATAACACGTGTATTAATGATATGTATGCCCTTTAAAGTGTATCTATATTTGTAAACAAATGTATGTATGATGTATATGGGCCTGTGGCCTACATACGGAATAAAAATACTTGACTTGACTCACTGAAAAGAGTGTGTGAGAGTGAGTGAGTGAGTGAATGAAAGTGAATGAGTGTTTAGTTTTATGCGGCTTTTAGTAATATTCCTACAATATCATAGTGGAGGACCCCAGAAATGGGCGTCACACATTGTACCCATGTGGGGAATCAAACCTGGGTCTTTGGCGTGATGAGCGAACTCTTTAACCACTGGGCTACCCCACCGCCGCTCTCACTGAAAACAAGAAGCAGAGTGATGGTGTAGTTGTTTTATTGACTACCTTTCCTTACTATCAGAGTAAGCATCATTACAATTATGCAGACAATTACAGAGTGATCACTTCAGCATCACAGCAACATGGCCAGGCATATGGTCACTTGAACCATGTATGCTGAGACTGAACATGGATTGTATTCTTTCTGACATGACAGACTAATAAATCAACACATTGCCATTGCAAATCCAGAATACAGCTACCAAGATGCTTTAATATACATTTTCTAAAATTTATCATGCACTGCATAGGTCGTCTGGGTGCAGAGAAGCACTGCAGCTATCGCAAAGTAGTCTTACAGCATAGGAGTGATAGCACTATTATTTTACTTTCTGCATGTAGGTCCTATGAGGCAAGCACAACAGTTTATCCTGAAAATACAAGCACCTGTTTAAAGGGTTCTTTCATTCGACTTAAGATCTGGGTTCACTCCTCACATAGGTAAATCATACGAAGACTATTCTTGGTGTCCCCTAGTTCTTGAAAATTTCTAAAACCATTATTGCTCTACAGTTCAAATAAAAGAATTTTCAAGTGTTTTGAACCTCTTTTCACATTCCCACTAACTCACTAACAGGTAACATTAGTGTGTCAAACTTAAATGGAACAATTTTCATAAATATCCCGGATCTATTCGAAAATGCAGGAAGTTCGGAAGTTACGTCACCACTCTCATCCCTCCTATAGCTAAAAAAGCACAGAATGTCTCTCGCTCACTAAAGCTTTTTGATTGGATAGCTATTTTCATCATTGTGCTGTCCGCCTGTCCGTCTGGTATTACAGCATATTTATCAAAACACACTGGAAACATAATGTAGTGAATAGTCGAGGATAGTAATCAATATGGACATTAATTAATTCTTGAGCCCATAAGACCAGAGTAGAGATCACGTGACACTTGCCTGAGTCACCTGACCAATGTTGTGCAACGTGCAATGCGTTATCTGTGTGATACAATGCATCGTGTCGATAAACCGATAAACAGTCTTTGCTCTCGATAGCAAACATGAAGTCAACCGCTCTGATCCTCGTGTGCGTCACCATCGCTACAGGTGAGATATTCAAAATGTGCTATTAATCCGATTACTCAGTAAGGTCAGTGGTCGAAGTAAAAATTATAATGTTTGATTTAAGAACATTTACGAAGCATTGGATTGGGTGAAATTAATAAACTAGGAGATGGAAACGTCAAAGACGCTTTTCTTTCGAAATTGACCAGATACTTTTTACATTTTTCATATTTTAAGAAATGAAGCTAATTAACATTGTCTTAAGATTTTGAATGTAAGTAACTTTTTGGTTGACGGATTCCTTCGTTTCATTGTGTAGTGATACGTGTCGTATTTACGGAATATTTAACACACCTGAATATAGCAATATTCCAGCAATATCATGGCGGGGGACACCAGAAATGGGCTTCACGAATTGTCCAATGTGTGAAATCGAACCCGAGTCTTCGGCGTGACGAGCGAACGCTTTAACCACTAGGCTACCCCACTGCCCCTAATGATATGAAAAGGATTGCCCAGTTGGAGTTATGTGCCGCATGTGTTCCAGGATCCTGTGATCTTGTGTTCGAATCCAGTTTTCGCCAGATTATGAACCAAACTGTTAACCTGTTTTTTTACTAAAATCATCAGCAGTTTCATTTCACACTGAACTAAATCTTCATAATATGGCTGAAATACGGCGTAAAGCACAATTCACTCATCCACAAAATTAAGTCTGGTCACGAGTATATTACTGTACGCACTGCAGGCCTGTATGTCGACCACGGTGATCCATACAAATCCGGCACGTTGACAACGGGGAAAGTCGTCGTTACCGTCCTCGAAGACAAGAGCCCCCTGCATGCCGTCACCCACTCCCTTACGTCACCGGGGACTACGGCGTTGTCTTCTTTATCCCGGGACTGGACGGTGTCATTCTCAGCGCGTTCCACTCCGAGTATCTCACTGCAATAGCTCAGCATGGGTAGGTCAAGTCAGTCTCGAAACTCTGTTGCTCAGCATGGCAGGTGATACCACGTACGTCAACACCATAGCTCAGCATGGGTAGGTCAAGTCCACCTCGAAACTCTGTTGCTCAGCATGGCAGGTGATACCACGTACGTCAACACCATAGCTCAGCATGGGTAGGTCAAGTCCACCTCGAAACTCTGTAGCTCAGCAAGGGTTGGTGATACCACGTACGTCAACACCATTTTTCAGCATGGGTAGGTCAAGTCCACCTCGAAACTCTGTAGCTCAGCAAGGGTTGGTGATACCACGTACGTCAACATCATTGCTCAGCATGGGTTGGTGAAGTCCAACGCCTGAACTCTCTAACTGAGCATGGGTAGGTGAAATGAAGTATCTCAAAACTGCATATCAAAGTACACAAAGAACACTGTACCTCAACATGGGTAGGTGATATCAAATGTCTCAACTAGGACTGTTAGGGGATATCAATTATCTCAACTCTTAAGCTCAACATAGGAGAACTCAACTATCGT